AATCATACTTTTACGTTTCCCTGCAGTCTTTCTTTTCATCATGTGTCAGAATGTCTGACATTATTACAGACTAAAGAACGTTAAGATTGTTGCTAAGCTGCAGTGGCAACGTTGGTTTTAGCAAAGTCATGGTGAGAGGAAATTATGTTTCAGTGAAAAAACGTCTGAAGAAGCTCTGAAAAAAATATCCTCACGAAAGCAGAAGCAGACATTAGCATGATTGTTTATAAAATAGTTATTATTTTACATCCGTGTTGGTTAAAATGTCACTGTGCAGCCAGAACGTTACGTGTTAAATATGCCTCCTCATCATCTGACAGGTGTTGAGCTCGGGGCGTGTTCTCTTCTCCCCCGCAGGCTTCACTGCTGAGAACTCAGACCACATCATTTTAGAAGACAATCTGCAGCGTCTCCCGCGCTGGAGAGCTCTCTAATTTTATACCTATAAAAAGCTGCTGTTATACAAGCGCTGTACAGTGCATGCACAGCCTGGTGAAGTCACGGTGAGTCAGAGTAATAACAGCGTCTTTTATCAGAACGGGCGACAGTTAACGCTGGCTTCCTGTAAAGTCATCAAACACAGCAGTCGTGGGCCTGTCGGAACACGGTAACACTCCACGTCTTCAGTCTCCCTTCCTTCCATAAACACACTCTTTGACACACACACACAAACACACCCTGCCAACCACACACACACAAACACACACTGTCATGTCCAACCCACTCTAAATGGATGGGTTAGTTTTTGACGAGGCTGACCTCTTCACCTTTGACCTCTGACTAATTTGCTGCGGCCCACTCATTCTCCCTCTTTTTCTGTCTGCAGACCTGAACGAGTGCGGTCTGAAGCCGAGGCCCTGTAAACACAGGTGCATGAACACGTACGGGAGCTACAAGTGCTACTGCCTGAACGGTTACATGCAGCTGCCTGACGGGACCTGTGGGAGTGAGTGTTCCTCTCTCAGCTTCTGTTCTCTCCCTACTGTCCAGTTCATTCTTCTTTGTTGCCTGGATATGATTTTGTGCTTCACTACAAATGTGTTCATCAGCGTGTCAGCACAGTGCAATACAATATAATATACAATATACAATATGTATAATATACAATATTTCCTCTTTATTGATATATTGGTGGCAACTATTGATATTTATATATTTAGATATTTTGTGCTGGGATATAATTTGTACTATGGTACAACGGTTGTGATTAGTTGTGGGGTGTGTTCTCCTCGAAGTCGAGGTGCCTTATCACCCTGTTTACATTCATGCCAGAATCTTCCTTAAATAAGACAAACTGTAGAGTGTAGTATGCACTTTATATCTAACAGATATCGTGATTCATGATGGATGAAATTCATTGTAAAAATATCGATTATCGCAGAATGGCTGTATAGTGATATTATCGTTATTATCTGCAAAAATCTCGTGATAGAATCGTCAGATACTCGGCCGTACGCAGCCCTAACAAATGTCGTTTATTAGAAAAAAAACCTCTTCTCCACATATGTGTGTATCTCGGCCAGCAGCCTTCCAATCCTTTCATAGACTATTTGATTAACGCCACCGCTTCATTACACAAGCTCGACAGTGTGTAGAACCCTGCGAAGAATCCCAACAGGTAAAGGGAGGTAAAATACAGAAGAAAACACAGGCCACAAAGCCTAGAGTTTATAAGCAGTACTTTTTGCCCCAAGGTACCAAACAGAGGTGGCAATTCCCACTCCTCCAGGATGGCGTGACGTCTTAATTATATTCTTTATTATCAGAAGACAATTTAATATATGTCCTTCATTGTCTGCTTTACTCGGCTTAATCTCAGTGTTTTCCAATGTTGTCATCGGATGATAATGTCAGACATTACACTGTTTCTCCTTTCTCTGCTGCTCCTGCTTTGATCAATAGATCCCTGGAGCTTTAATAAGACAGTCTTGCCTCAGTCATTGAACCCTACTGCAGGGTGCCAGAGGCAGTGATGTAGCGGTAGTAACACGAGCCACACGTTTAATTTCCTTTTTTGGGTCTGAAGTTATTAAAACAGGCTGAACCTGAAATCGGTTCTGGTTTATTATTTTTGGTGTTGAATGAAGTTTTTATTTCAAGGAACTGATAGGCAGAAGTCGGTGAGAGAGCGGGTGTTCAGCAGAGGAATCTCATAATGGTCCAGCGTCTGTTGTCTGCACCGCGAGGTCAGGCTGGTAAATATGAGAAAGGCCAGTGAAGGCAGGTGCATACACACTGAACAACGAACCGTTGTATTGGTTTTTTTTTTCTTTAAATGTAAGATTCAGACTCAGGAAACATTATTTATCCCTCGAGTTCAACTGAGAGGCCGAGCCTGAGGATATGGAGGAAAACAGAAAGTAATTATAAGTACAGAAAACAAAGAAGGAAGGATAAGAACAAGTGAAGAGGATAGAAAAAAAAACACAATTAAGGAAGGATAAGAACAAGTGAAGAGGACAGAAAAAAAACAATACGTGTCACGGTAATAAATGAGGTGAACACACACATTTAGGGAACTGTAAATAAATACAGACTTCACGTGGAAAAACATTCCACATTTAGAGACAAAGCTAGAATATAGAATTTTAATTTCATTTAATTAAATGATGGGCTTCGTTTTTATGTTGTGTCTCTTTGCAATATTCAGCCATTAGTTGTTTTTCATGTTCTAGTGGAGAATTTAAGTGAAATGATCCAATTTATATTGAAACTGGATACCACTTCCTTTTTGTTTGTAAACAATGTGCAACACTTGCTGCATACTTTGCTTAAATTCTTCTTTTTTTCATCCTTTATGTCCACCAGATGCTCGCACATGCGGCATGGCTAACTGTCAGTACGGCTGTGAGGTTCTGAAGGGAGAGGTCCGATGTCAGTGTCCATCACCGGGACTCCAGCTGGCCTCAGATGGAAGAACGTGTATCGGTGCGTCTGAGTGAACGGAGCCTTTACATTAACCCTCCTGCTTAAATGCAAGACTGTGAGAGAACATCACTAATGAGACTCTGTGATAATCATGCAGCTGCTTTGGCAGAGCATGGAGGAGAACTTGGCATTTAAAAGAGAATTAGTCAGCAGGCACACAGAACCTCTTTGCCGGGAATTTGATAGTCATCCAAGACTAGATAATCAACCAAGATATTTTTGAGATATTCCAGAACTGAGCTGTCTTTGTCAGCAACATTTATCAGTTTTACACGGCAAAGATTTTCAGGGGAGTAATCAACAGATTTCAGGGGGCAGTTCTTTTCTTCCTGAATGTTCTTCAACTACAGGCTGTTCCAAAAACTGAGCAGCTCCTCCAACTCTGCCATCTAATCCCACTAAGGAGAGCAGACGGGCTAATGGGGGGGCGAGGGGGGCAGTATTCCTGAAAGGGGTCGGTCGTAAATCATGATGAATGATGTCACTGAGGACAGAGCGTTTGCCTACAGAAGGTGGTACAACATGGTGTGATTCCAGATCCCTGTGGGAGCAGATTGGACTTTTACGGCAGCTCTGTTATCATATTTATGGATGTGCACTCCTTCAGCCTTCGCTTGCAGTTTCTGCTATTATAATGTTGAGTTGTCAGTAAAAACTCGAGCCTTCAGAGCCAAGACTATCAAACCATTTTAAAAATGCCGTACAAAATATTTTATACCCACGATTCTTGTGGGTTGAGTGTAAAAATTGGACTCAAACAAAGTGATTTGATTTCGGCTTGACATTTATTCAACCAGACTGGAATAAAGTCGGCAAGCGCAAATACTCAAGCACCTGCAGTCAGGAATACAGATACAGATTGTTGAGATCTCTACATCTACGCCATGGTCATGTGATAGTGCATGTAATCACTTTGATCAAAGGTCAGTAAAATAAAGCAGGCTGTTGAAATGCTTTTATTCCCCATCGTTTTCTCGATACTTAAATCATGCAACTCCGGCCTTCTCCTGAACAGGTGTCGATTCTAAAGCTCCACTGGAGCAGTGTTTCTGGCTGATTAGCGAGTTTGAGGGGATTCACTCTGCTTTCTCACTGGACCTGCATGTTTTTCCAGCAGCTCTGAAATTTTAAGGTCCGTTTTAACGGTAGTCCCTTTAGCACAACGGCGCTCCTGCGGCATTGTGCAGAAAATTAATGATTCCAATGCAAATGCTTTGAAGTCGGCGACTGGTGCCTTAATATTAATGGCTATTTCCCTGCAAATGTACAACACTAGGAGTTTAGAACGGCTCGATTACTGTGTTCTGTTCACTAAGCAGAAAACATAAAGATATAAAGGTAATACAATGTTTTTTTTCTTTAAATTTTCTAGTATGCATTATTTATAGCCCATTGTTCTGGATATTAGTGGGAAAAAAACGCCCAAAAAAAACCCCTCAGTGAAACCCATATTTGATCATTGCTGTGTCGTTCTGATGTGTCATTTATTTTGTTCTGTTGCAGACGTGGATGAATGTGCCACAGGAATCGCTGTTTGCCCCAGGTTCAGGAAATGCATCAACACCTTTGGAAGCTATATCTGCAAGTGTCACGAAGGCTTCGACCTGCAATACATCAATGGGAAATACCAGTGCATAGGTACTGTCACAGGTGTCTGCACTGGGATACAAGCTGCAGGGGGGGTGGTGGTGGGGGGGGGCGCTCCTGTGATGCTTTTGATTTATGACAATTTCTCTCTCCGGAGACACTGATCATGAAAAAGAAAACCAATAATTTCCTCTGACACATGCTATGTTTTATAGGATTTTTAATATCTGAATGTAAGCTTTTCTCTATACACAAAGTTGACATGATGAATTATGATGCTATGATGAACACAATTATCCACTACAATTTTACAATAATTTCTTTTTACATAATACATGACTTATTTTAGATCAAATTTGCCTTCATTACTTTTTTATTTCTTTGGTTAATCAAAATATAATTATTTTTAATTGTTGTATGTAAAAAAAAAAAAATCTACCTTGTATTTCATGTAGCTCCAGCTGAGCCAGAAATTCTTCAAACTTATTACATTTTACTGAGACAACAGAGCTCAGTTCACTTTCTTGATTTGAAATTGCGAGGCAGCAGTACACTGCAGTATGCACGATGAATTCCAAAACCTGCCTCCTTTAAACTCTTCATCAGTATTCTACACAAAAGTCACATTACCTTGAATATCGGCAGCAGAATGTACTGTTCACGGTCCTCGTGCGTCATTTCCTCTAAAGAGTGGCTTCACTCGAGAACCTTCTCTACCAGAAATCTACAGAAACGACTTTTCATTTCAACGTTATATATATATAATTTTTTTCACTGAAGAAATTGAAATCAATTGAAATGCTTTTAGTCAAAAGACCTCAGCTAATAAAACGAGCTGTTCATCAGGAGGTTCTTGACCCACAGGTGGTCCACACAGCTACTACAAAGGCTGTTGTGAATTTATTTTGAAATATTTTTTTCACATTGAAATTAAAAATGTTAATAGTACATGCACCTGTGTATTATTTAGAGATCTTAGTATAAGATCCAACATAACAAGCCATGTTTGGGGGGGGAGGGGGGGGTTCCTGCACCAGGTGCTCATTACGTTACGAGTGCTTGTCTTAAAAACTCTGAGACCCTCGTATTAAAGGAAATAGCTGACGGTTGAATGTGGCTCTGTTTCCATTGTCTTTCAGATGTGGACGAGTGCTCTACAGGCCAGAGCCACTGTGGCAGCTCTGCCGCCTGCTACAACACGCCGGGCTCATACAAGTGCAAATGCAAAGAGGGCTACAGGGGGATGGGCCAGGACTGCAAACGTAAGGACCAAGAAAGACAGCTGTGGCCCTCAAAGCTGTGGCCCTCAGTGTTCACTTTGATGTTTGATTCAGGGCCTCAAAAAGTTTTTTGTTTTCTTTGACAGTGTTTTTTTTTTTATTTCAAATAGTTAGGAGAGTAAAAGAAAATGCATGAAGTACAGGGCAGGTGCTGGAATTTCTCTCTTTATAAGGACACCAGCAGTGTCATTTTATTGACCAATGAAAACAAAACAAATGACAATGACGAAATGTATTGATGTCTTAATCAAACAATAATAATAATAATAATAATAATAATAATAATAATAATAATAATAATAATAAGGGACATAAAAATCTGTCAGGGATGAAGTTCATCCGCCCTGATTTCAGTTCAATGTTGGGCATTGGGTAACAAAGAACCAATCAAAAAAAATAGTACGCATACTATTCACATCAACTATATCTAAAAGTTTGATATTTTGGTGAAAAAACGTAACTCAAATTAAAACAGTTCTATTTACTAAATTGGACTAAGGGTTAGGGTTAGGGTCCAAATTCACATTGAGATTGAATGTAAATCGTCAGTCAACACCAAGGTCAATTTCTTGCTCTTTAACCCCATACATACATACGTGGAGACTCGACTCAGGCCCTCAGAGTCAAAAAATGGTTCCTTCACATTTACATTTTCCCTTCTGTCTGTGTCTTTTTGATCACAGACAGTTAATTCATCTGTCTACGTGTGTAATCTGTGTGTTTGTAGTTTCATATCTGTGAGCAAGAAGTCATTGATGAAACATCGAGAGAATGCCCACCCCCCTGGGCACAGTGAGCTGCAAATATTTCCTGGTGTCACCTACCTCAAGGGTGTGGGCCACCAGTGCCCGGGGACTCAAGTTGCAATATCCTATTTGTGTCTCACATTTCAAAGTCGCCTGCAACCTGAGGAGGCAATAACAGAGTTCAAACCACTTGCCTTTGTTTGCTCTCATTCCTCACTCATGAAGGCCTTATGAAACCCCACCAGCAACACACAAATACCCTGCGATGTCTGTTCCCGCTCCTGCAGCGAAGAATGTGAGAGGGAACAAAAGGAGAGAAGTAGAACTTTGATTACGTCAGCCGAGTAAAGGGGATCTCCAGGGCACGGCTGCCTCTGTTGGACCGGAGATCATTCCACGCACACAGAGCAGCTTTAGCCGGCTGCTGAGAAGCCTCGGGCAACAAGCGCACAAGGAATTGTTAATTAGATGGAGCACGTAGAGCGAGTCAAAGGCAGCGGTCAGAAGCCAGTGTGGATGTCCGCTCATTCATTCAGAAATATCATAACAACAACAATGATTTGAACCTAAATATGTATATATATGTATCAACATACAGTCCACGTATATATATGTACATACATATATGTATATATATATGGGCAGTATATAACATGCCTTATCCAACATGTCCCACCTTGATTCCCTTCCAAACAATGTCCTGTATCATAAGGGACAATATTGACAGAATGAGACTTTAATTCCATAGACCATTTTTTCCCAAAGACGGGGTCGCGACCCTCAGGTGGGAGGCAAGAGTTTTGTTTTTTTTTTTGCGTCGTCTTGCATCATGTTTACGAATAAACTCCTGGGACAGTCTGTTGACTTGGGTCACGAAGGTTAAAAAAAAAGTTTGGGAAACACTGCCATAGACAACCCAATGCTAAATAACCATCAGTCAAAGGCAAGTAGTTCAAACTGTAGTGATGTAGTAGTTTCACATTTTTTCGACAGCAGAGGTCAAGTTAATTCAAAGTTAATAGACACAGGATGAAGGATGAATCTCGTAGATGAAGTCGTGCTAATGATTGCTGGGAAATTCAACGCCTCATTAACACTCATCACTTTTTTTTCCTTCTCATATTTCAGTCATTCCTAAGGTGGTCATCGACCCACCCAGACCAGGCCACAATCACCACAACCACATCCCAGACTTAGACCAGAGGAGGACCACCACCACCGTACGGCCACCAGTGACGTCAAAGAGAATCTTCCCGTTCATCCCTAAGTCAACACCTTCCACCACCACAACAACAACAACAACTACTACAACTAAAGCACCTCTGCCTCCAAAAAGGGCCACCCCACCTCCGGGCAAACCAGCAGTTCCTACCAGAAAGACGGTAATTCCTACTCGGAAACCTCCGATATCAACACGCAAACCACATGTCATACCAAGACCGGTCACTCCAACCAGACCACCTGCAGTTCCACCTGTCACCCCCGTGGACAACACCATCCAGAAGGAGGTCACCAAGCAGAGAGGAGACGTCCACAGTAAGTCCATTTTTTTTTACATTTTTAAAACTTTAGATCACATAAATGTAATTTTTTTACATGTTAGATTTTTCTGCTTTTTGATCCTTGCTGTGCTGTGAAGGTTTTCTTCTTTCTTCACTCTTGGAGACTCAGTTGACAGGTCTATTCTAAACGATATGGACCGAATTTTAACTTTCACTTCCCCTGCATCCTGAAACCAAACATTTTTATATTACACAACACATTTAATCTAAAGTCAAGTGTTATTTTGTAAAAAAGAGAGAGAATTTAAAAACAATTCTATTTTGTTGATCAAATTTACTAAGACTTCTAGTTTAAGACTTCTGATTTAAAATAATAGCAAAATAAAATGAACTTACCCCATGAATATAAGCATTCTTTTATTCTTAATAAAATATTGATACAGTTCTGTAGAATATCAACATGATATTGTGAAACAAAGTATTACGTTATTTTGTTGTATTGATATTTTCTTACACCACTACATGATACAGGTTATTAAGCAGATTCTTTCTCTGTTCTTTTCAAAAGCATAAATCAATATTTTAATTAATTATTGACCTAAATGAAAAGCTTTATTGTAAATACAACATTAGAACTGCAGAAAAATCCACAACGTGCTGATTTGATCCACAACACACATGCTGTTTGGTGAGAACTGAACAGAAAGTTCTGTCGTTCCAGCTCACCTTGCCAGATGGCAGCACATAATTAGAAAAGTAAAGATGAAGGAATATTACATTAACTCCTGTCTGCACAACTAGAGGGAGACATCAGTCTAACAGTCTGCACCCTGGCAGGACTGTTCCTGAAATCAGAGAAGACAATTTAAATAGTGTGAAAGGAGGAATGAGACGAGAGACGAGCGCTGAGTAATTATTCAAAGGACTGAAATAGCATAATTGTAATAGTCATTAGCATAATTCTTCTGGATGTGAAAAACTGTGGCTTGAACTACTGTAGAGTTGTGTATATACTGTTGTAGTTTTCTGTAGCAATTCCATCATCCTTTATTTTACTGACTTCAGCTTCAGATATTACTGTAGCAGCTCTAACTCCTCTGTAGATGAAATAGTAGATGGGATGTAAAATTTAAATTACGTATCAAAACATTTCTTAGGCTGCTCATGGACAGAACAACGGTTGGGTCTCTCTGTGAAACCTATCACAATTTTCCATGGTAACTCCATTCTGTCAATTGCATCACGCAGGAGATATTTGCTTGGCAAATGACAGAGATGAGTATAAATGTCACTTGGTTAATCTGATCCACCGCAGCGTCTGCCGGCGGTGGGATTTTTGCAAAACAAGCTACCCTTTTCTGGACCTGAGATGTAAGAGACCTTTAACGTTGGTCGCTCAGAACTGACTGCCAACAATCTCCAATTCTCTGAATGAAAATTGCACCTAGGTTTTATAACTCAGTCATATGCACACACACAATATAGTGGTATATGGCAAATCCATCCAGGACTCTTTCTTTTTCAATTAAAAATTTCAACAAATATTTAATATCGAGAGTTGACTTCAATACAGGATCACACCAAGAGGCTTTGACATGTTCTGGCTTGTTGGTTGATATTTCTATCAACACCTCTTCATCAAAAAGGAATGTTATCTTATCTTTTCTAATCGGACACTTTCAAATGATTGATCTGAACAGTAATCTTCCAACACACATCACACATTTGATCAGCAATAATTCAAATATATTTAAATCTGTGTTGTATGTGTTGTTGCTATAATTCTATACAATGTCACACAATGCAATACTTGGATACACATTAGGCTGTGATCAGAAATATGAATTTTCTGACCTGAATCCTCAGCCTCTTTTTCCTGTTCTGTACCATTCTGTATTAATCTGATTAATCACAGGGTAGCTGTGGATTATTCATGATAAACTGTGATGTCGAGAAAGAAAAGGGAAAAGTCAGGGTCAATATTCAGTTTCATAATTTGGTTTATCAGTGTAATTACGGTGCGTTCGACACTGGCCTGTAAAATGTGTCGAGACTTGTTTTTAATCAGTCAGTCAGTTTGCCAACTGCAGACAGGTTTCTCATTGTGTAGTGCTTTGTCAAACATGTTGTCAAAATGTATCCAACTTATAATAACAAAGGTGCAATTTGATTCATTCCACATGGAGACTGGTACAAAATGAGGTCACTGGTCTAGTCACAGAGCCATGGGGAACAGCAGATACTGGTGTTTTGTCTCAGCAGCCCTGGTCGAAAGTGTAGCAGAGTGTCTACACTTAGCAATAGCATCTCGCAAGTTAATTCTAGGAAAACTGTTAGCACAGTTAACACACAATGCTGTTACATGCTCAACATCAGGTTACTAAAGTTGGAACAGAGGGCTCTACATTTGTAATTACTAGAGAAGAAATAAAAGCAAAATAAAAGGAAGCAGCGGTATAATAATTTATATGTTAATTGTTAATACAAAAATATCAAATATATCAATTTTGGATATATTAGCATATAGATATTTTCTTATACCCCTAGTTCAAAATAATTCACAATAAATGTACCATTAATGTCTGTCAGTGCCAGCCTTTATTTACTCTTTGTCGGGGTATATGGACCCTGCTGGATGATCCCTGACTCGGGGACAGATTTCTTTAAAAGCACAGACACTGTGACACACATGGAGATTCCTGCACTCCTGGGATTGCTGGAGAGCCTGGTGTGAGTCTGACCTCCCTGATCTTAGATTCCTTTGATTACATGGCAGTCTGCGGGGTTTGTGTGTCCCAGCAGGACGGTGGAACCTTTTACTGCTCTGGCGGACTGGGGTCGGCGTGTCACTGAGCCTGGAGAGCTGGTAGTTCAAGTGCAGGTTAAAATAAACAAGTGGCAAACCAGCAGGAGTTTGTCGGCAAGGTTGGGATCAGTTCAAATGAGGGTTTGGTTTTGTAGTCATTCTTTATCTTTTAGTTCAGGGTTTGGTTTTGTAGTCATTCTTTATTCTGAAGAAAATTAAGGAAATTCTACAGTAATATTTGTTATCTTTTAGTGTAGTATTAACCGCCTGTTTGTGAAAAACATTACCGTAAATATAACACATTGTTTCCCAAAGACTGGGTCACGACCCTGAGGTGGGTCGCAAGTGATTTTTTTTTTTCATGTTTCCCAGGAGTTTATGAATGTCTATTGACTTGGGTCGCAAAGGTTTGTGACTTTTAAAATATGGGTCCCCAGAGAAAAAGTTTGATATAAGAGATGGAATCAAAAGAGGAAAGTACAAACTTCCTGTGCTCTACTTGGCAGCTTGGCTTTGGCTCTTAGTATCTTGGGAGGCATGACCCCAGTGGATAAGGAGAGAGGATGTTTTAAGAATGTGTGTGTTGTGTTGTGTGTGTAGTCTCTTGTCCTGGCGCTGTAGTTTTGCCCAGAAGATAAATGTAATCAGCCGTGCCTTTTCATCACTTTACATTAGACTTCTTCTGTTTCTTGTCCCCCTGACCTCACTGTGGTCAAATGTACTTAATTGTGCTCAACCACAGACACTAAACCATGACATTGATTCATCCCCTGAAAGCAGTGAGACAAATCCACACACACTGTATTAGCCACAGGCAAGGACACCAGGGGCCACATATCACTTCTTCTCTCAGTAATCCTTAATCCTATCCTCTATCTCTCCTCAGTCCCTCGGAACCACGACCACAACACAGTCCTGGGCGTCGACTTTGACATTGAGCTCGGCAACACAGCAGATGAAGCTAAAGACGACCCAGGTAAACAAGACATGTTTCAGCTGTCGGGTGGATTCCTAAACGTGACAGTCACTCCTGCAGTGTTGATGCAGGAGTGACTGTCCTCCTTCAGAAACACATCTGAACGCATCTGTTCAGACGTGTTTCTGAACAGATGCGTTTTGATAAGGCTTTCACCATAAGGGGGTGCACAATGTCTGTTCATATCAGTTTAACTAACGGCTTTTCCGTTAGTTTCCAGAAAATGTCCTGTTTTCACATTATGACTCTTGACTGCTTGAATGATTTATAGATTGTTTTGGAGGTAGATGAGGTTTCAGCTCTTAAGCCTCATTGTACTCCATGTGGAATTCTCAAAATAATGATATAAACTTCATGAAGAGACAGTGATTTGTCTCTTTTGTCTTTTTTCTTCTCAGTGTGATCTATTGTTGCCAGCGCTGGGTACACTAAATCATGTTTGTTTTGGCTAACAGCGTGTCATTTTTAAAGAAGTGTCAAAAAAGGAAAAGGGTTTTTTATGAGTTGTAAATGAAGTGTGAAGTTGTCTTTGGAAAATCAAAGCCAATAAAATGATGGCTGTTTTTTTATCAGGAATTTCTTCTTTTCCTCAGCAGCTCATAAATGTAATGTTTTGCTGGAAATATCCTACTGCCACGTCTTCATTATGATCTCTCAAAATGAATGTGACAACATAATGATATCATTAGCATTCTCTCTTCACTGGTATTTAGCTTTGAGATAAACAATTAGCATTCTCTCTTCACTGGTATTTACTGGTAACAGTGATGCCAGGTATGGATACACATAGTTGATAGAACTAAAAGAAAAGTTATGAGAAACTCCTTGATGTCTGTGTGTGTTTGTCCTTCTTTCGTTTGTCTGAAAAGTAACTTTTTATTCTTTTCAGACTCAGGGTATCTCAGCTGTTCCTTCGATGATGGTCTTTGTGGCTGGATCAGGGACAAAGATGGAGACCTGCACTGGGAGACAACGCCTGATCCGACCGGTAAATGCAATGCGAAATTTTGGTTCATACACTATTACAAATATATTCCTAGTGTTATTCCTTACCCTTTAAGTCTAATCTGACCCCAATTTTAACCCTACCTCAGAACTCATTTTGAAGAATGAAATAACCTGGGACCTGCAAAATAAATCCCCATAAGGACATAGGGTCCCCACAACAACAAAAAAAAAAACGTCCCCACAATTGTAGGCTATACCAGAAACAATCACACACACCCCAAATCAAAAAAGGAAAAACATTGATTTTACTTTTCCATCCATTTTCCGTACCAACCCCCCACTGGAAGGTAGCAACCGCCCTAACTGGGATTTGAACTTGTCCAGGAGTTGGACCCTGGGCTTCCACACCAATGGCAGAGGCATTGCCTCTGGGCCAAACCACCACTTGACTTTACTTTTCAAATATCAAATGTGAATGAGCACTCATGCTTGACATTTTCAACGGGCAAACACTCAAAGTCAGAGAAGCCGAATGTTTTTTTGGCTCAATTACAGAATGAAACACATTCACAGGAAGAACTCTGTGAACACCAGGGCCTTTGTTTGACCAAAGAATGCAAATGAAAATGGATTACGTGACGTGTCAGTGATACTTGAGTGACATTAAATAGAAATACAATCCTCCACTGAGAGGCTGAGGTGATTTACATCTGGAAGACAGAGAGAAGACTAAACATTTCAGTAAACTGGCGCTGTTAAATGTAAAAACAAAAAAAAACTAAATAAAATCAACTCCTGTTTGCTGCCATGGCCAACTGGCCTCCAGTCAGTGCTGTGTCTCCAGGCATTCACTGTAAGGCTGTAAGCTTCCGGTCTTTTTAAGCCAAATAAAATTAGGGGTTTTTTTTGTTTGTTTTGCTTCTTACTACATGAGAAAAAACCATTTACAGTAAGTCAAAAGCTGTAACTGTTATAGTATTTCAATTGTGTACTAAACATATTTAATGAGAATACTTAAAGATACTACTGTATGTGTACATGTGAATCCAGACCTCAGTTTTGCTCACACTCTCATTGTGTGATGTGGGATATGTGTGTGTGTTTAGTCCTTTTCACTTTCCCATGATAAACAGCAACTGGCAAACATCGGCGACCGTTAAATAATTGGCACGTACTGCAATTCCTCATAACTAATGCATGACAGCTTCAGTGTCCTGCAGCTACAGTCAATAACGGCTCCCCTGTGGTTCAAGCAGCCATAAACTGATCCACTGGATAACCAAAATACATGGACATGGATCACCTATAACCAGAGGCGCTGCCAGGAATTCTGGGTCCCACAGAAGGATATGACAATGGGCTCCTGTGTAACATACACATCCAAGACTGATACCAACTACGTGGAATTCCTCAAAACTATATTTTATTAATAACTAAATATTTTTTTCTTATCTTCACCAGCTTTATTCTCGAAGGAAAAGAAATTGTTTTTTTTTGTTGTTGATATTGTTAGGTTTCCTTTTTGGGGAGTTTGAAGCTATGAAGAGAAAATGAGATTCGTCTCAAGTGTTTTTATAGGTCTAAGATTTTTGAATAGTTTTAAGGAGTGCAGTGGTGTGTGTTTATATATGATACTCTTAGCCTTTGAAGTACATTTTCTACTGCAATCATCATGGCAAAAACAGGTCAATTCCTCCCAGGGTACGTCGACTTGTGCCCCTTATGTCTCCCTGTCGTTTTTCTGTCAGTTCCACAGTGTGTATATATAACACGCTGAGTTCATCAGAAAACTGTGAACTGCTGTTCGTCTCTACAGGTGGACGGTACCTCACCATACCAGAGGTAGGAAACAAAAGAACCGGACGAGGGGCCCGACTGGTCCTCCCACTCACACCTCCTTGGAACGACGGCAATCTGTGCCTGTCTTTTCGCCACAAGCTGGCAGGACACCATGTGGGAATGCTGCAAGTGTTTGTGAAGAAAGGAAAGCAGTACAGCCCGGCAGTGTGGGGCCGCACAGGAGGCAATGGCTGGAGGCACACTCAGATCACACTCTGGGGCACAGGCCTGGAAAGTGTAAGTATCACATCAAACATGTTTGTCATTACAATAAATCTCAGCTTAGCAATGATTTGAAATTGGAATATCTGGAGTATTTGGAAGATTGTCACTGCAATGGCCTTGTATAGAATCTACAAGATTGAAAACAAAAAAGATTTTAAGGTGATTGCATTGCACTTCTTTGGGCTCATTTATAGGTGAATAGTGTGGTTTTATCTTCATGTGTTCTCTAACATACTGGTAACGACTCCTCTGCACTAGCAAATATGACGCACAACATTTATGTTGTCGAGTTAAGACCAACCAAAAGTCTCATGTTAGACTGCAGCATCACCAGATCTCACATCTCAATGTGCATTGTGATGTTGTTCCCCAGGTAATCCTGAAGGGGGAGCGTGGGCGAGGCAGGAGCGGTGAAATGGCGGTGGATGACATCACCCTGAGGAAAGGCTCGTGCACAGAAGAGCACAGTCTGAGGAGACTTTAACTGCCAGTTTAAAACAAGGGCAGAAAGAAAAGATGAGAGGAAATTAATCTGAAAGAGAAGTGACTCTGTTACAACGTCCTCCTCACTCTGCCCACCCTTAAACTCAACTACTCCTGCCATCCTGTAAACGTAAATGTCCAAGAAATTGTGCTGGAGCAAAACAGTGGGTTTCTTCTTCTTCTTCTTCTTCTTCTTCTTCTTCTCGATTTTCACATGAACACAGGATCTGCGCCAAACCTCATGGGCCAATTCCAGAAAACAAGTTTCTCTCTTCTCAGCCTGTATCAATCCATACTGACCGGGTGTGACTGGAAACCTGCATGTTATTACCATGAAATTGTCCACCACATAACAAAATCCCAGCAGCTCTCCAACCACTTAAAATTCTCCCAAAGACAAACAAAACAAACAATTCTTTCCTTGAAAAATCAGCTATTTAAATGCTGCATTCACTGAACCAGTGCTGTTTATTTGCCTTACGATCTCTGCAAAAAGGTATTTTGGTTGATAGCTGAAGAAATCCCAGCTGTCGATGTCAGTAAATCTGATACTTTTTTAAGACAGTGTTTGTTGTCATGTGGTTGTAATGGAGTAACTGTGTAATCCCACTGTCACTGGTCTACTTCCACCTTTTTTTTAAATATTGATCTCTCTGTTCAAAAACAGTTGATGGAAAGTGTGCAGTTTTCTTTGTGACAGTATTTCAAAGATCTGGTTGATTGTTGTTTTGTTTTTGTTTTTTGTTTTTTTTTACCTAAATATTTTTTTCCAACGCCTCAATGGTAATAAAAACACTCAGCTCTCATGTTCTCCAGATACATGAAATGTGTCAAAAAGAATCGTTGTGCGAACCTGTGACTTTTACCCAAAGCATTACCCTCTGTCGCTTTGTCGCTTTGTTGATTTCGATGCTTTGTGTTTAGAAACAACCAGGCTTTTACAGTTCCTATTAATGTAAATGTAGTTGCGTGTACATACTCCAGAATTGTGTTGTGTGTTTTGTTAATTGACAACAATTGACATCATTATTAATTGGATTTTTTTAATGGTTTGTTATTTAAACGTATAAATAAAGTCTATTCAGATGGGACTTCATGTGTCATGCAAGACTGTTTAAAGTGCACAAAATAGCAGGTCGTAATATGGCATTGTGCTGTGTGTAACTTTAGCTATAGCTACTTTAGCTACTTTAGCTATGACAACAAGGAGCATCAGCTGGACTTGAAGATTATCTGTATGCCTGGGGGGCATTAAATCAAATTCAGATTCATCCTGACCAGTGTGTAAATAAAACACATATGACTGACAGTTAATTAAGTATTTTTTTTGTACCTTTAGCCAACAGAATGTCATCAAGTTACAGCTGCAAACTTTGATTTGCGAACAGATTTGGAGGAAAAGATGCAGATGCAGATAAAAATATTCTAGGAAAAGAGTGAGCTGCAATGAAAATATCTGATAAATTATTTTCAGCAGTGGCTCAAACTAAAATATATTATTTTTACCTTTTCGAACATATGATAATAATATCTTTCTATTTTGTTTAACATATTTTGAACATTGTTGTTTAAAGACAAAAAACCAAACTGGTAATACTGTTTGTGTTTTGATGAATTCAGTTCTATAGTGTGTTGAATTTGTAGTTCCTGCAAATCACAGTTATGAATATGACCACTTTCAGAGATTGTTATTGAGTCATATGTTGCCGTAACCACACGTAGTCAATACAATTAAAAACGTAACGTTAACCTGATACTGGAACAACATGGACTCCACTAAGGACCACTGGTCTAATGCATTAGTAACAATGCCACACACACCCATCCCAAATTTAATCCCTAAGTCTGAATCTTTTTTTTAAACTTCAAAACTAACTCTTTCTAAGAAGAACCTTAAAAATGTCCCCACAAAAACAAAGGGTCTCCGCAAGTACATTGTACATACTCCACACACACACAAAAGTTATGTGCTTCATAGGCAACAGTTTATTCTAATTTAAATGTTTACTTTATATTAACTGGTTAGGACTGAATGTGTGACTGTGTGTGAACTTGTGTGTGTGTGTGTGTGGGTGTGTGTGCCAGTGCTTGTATTGCTTGCTTACCCATTCACTTCACTTGATTGTCTGCACCTGCCCTCCTGTGTCTTCAGCGCCCTTGATTACCTGCCTCTCCCCTGATGTGTGTCACCTGTGTGTCGTTACGCCCCTGTGTGTTTATAAAACCCACTTCCTCCCAGTCTTCTGGTCCAGTTTGTCTGTGTCTCTCAACACAAGTACAGCTCAGTGCAGTTTTGTCATTCTTCTTGTGGTTTAGTTATTTGACTGTGTTTTGGGGTTTGTTTGTGCGTTTTGTTTTGGGGTTTTTTTTTGTAGTTTTTTTTTTTTTGTATTTGTTGTTGGTGGTGGATGGAAAAGCAGAACAGTTTGTAGATTGAGTTTTTAAACTCTGGTGGTGTGTGTGTCCCTGAACATCACAGTGGCATGTTTAGATACACTCTACCTACTAACTGTTTGTGAATGAAGTTGGTAAAATCTTCACCAATTCTCTGGACTTCTGTCTTTTCTTTGGACATGGTCTGTCCCATCCAGACAGACAGACAGAGAAAAATGAGCAGCTCTCCTGCAGTAGATTTGTTCTTTAGCTCATTATCAGGTCATCTTACTAACTTTCTGTGACAGCAGGAGTTGACTTGTTGAAAACATGACATCATACATATGTAATCCAGTTTAGTCACTCTTAGATGTGACCCACAGCGTTTATATCCCCAGTGCGCCACTTAAATTGTCCTTGAGAGTCGGTTGCTCCTCAAAGGGAACTCTCCTCACAGACTTGCTTCTCTTAGCCACATGCTGCCAAAAAGGACCTCATTAAATGGTGCATTAAAGCAGACGTTAATTCATTAAAATTCATGTGTATGGATCTGTGAGGTGGCAGGAATGATTTGGTTGGTACTGGTTAGAAGGCAGAACTTGAAGCACGCTGAAGATGTTGGAGCAGGTTTTACCTTAAGCAAAATGTTTTTGTTTTTTTCAGAGACACAAAAAAAGAATCTGTGTTTATTGACAACCAAGCCATTTAAATAATTTGATGGGAAGTGAAGAAGCAGGCTTCTACAATTCTGATTGGTCCTTTTAGTGGTTTTATGGAAAAAAACACTAAAGGGCTTTAGAACGAGTTCAGGCTAAAATACTTTTGTGTGCATGTTGGATTTTTGTTTTTCTGTAGTCATGCGTATGTAAAAGGAGTGAGGATCAAGGGGAATAGAAAAACAAACACATGCTACAGTTCCATCTGAAAACACTAGTAGATGATTTACATCTCACCTAGTTGCTTTTTGTAGAGACTTTTTTTTTCCGATGTGTTTTAAACCAGTGCAGCATCATCCCCGAGAATGTGGCCAAGTCTAAGAGTTTATAGTTTTTAAAACAGCATTTTATTTTGTGAGGAAACGATGCCCAACCAAAACTAAAAGGGACTCTGCTCCTTCCTCCAACAAACAAAAACAAAACAAAATACAGTGTTTTTAAACTAAGCTCAAATCAAAAAGAGAAAATGTTGTGAACAAAAACAAGTGCTTCTCACTCCTCCATTTTGCTGCTCAATACAAGCAATCAAATGTAACATAAGGTAAACCACACGGAGCACACAGCAAGGAGTCAGCAGGCTTTAGCTCGAGGATGATGAAGGGAAAAGGGGAAGAGCCAGTTGGTTTAAATGGACGCCATCCACCAATCCACTCACAGTTTCCCTGTCATGTGATCCTGCAAGAAAACAAAACAAAAAAACAACCCCCACATACCCACATACACTGATAGCAAACGGAAAACACATAAAACAGAATCACATGACCCATGTCCTCAGACAAGGGTTGAAACTATATATATATACACTTTTTTACAAACTTGAGTTATAATGATCATGACAGAGAGTAACATATTTTTCTACAGGTGTCAAAACTATGCCCATACCACCTACATAAAACTACTTAATGAACTGCACATGTTGTTTTTAATCCTGTTTTTCTGCTGTTAGTTTAAGAGTAATAAATGGCTTAAATGGCGACACTGTTTTCCACCAACTCTGGCTGCAGGTACTCATATTTTAGCTTCAGGTTTCTGTTTCTGACTTCCATGATTTTGTTCACAATATCCAGTTCTCCTTTAAACTGAGCCATCAGTTTCCTGGGAACTTTCTCAACAAAATGATCCTCTGGATACTGGCCAACTTTGACCTAAAAGTCAGGCATTTAATTAAAAAGTGCAAAGTCATTTTAGATTTTTTTTTTCTTAAATGTTGAGCAATACTCACAACGTCAGAAGACTGTCTGCTCAGTAGCCACACGGTGGATATGCCCAAAGCTGTGGTGTTGCGATCAGGGAGCGTAGCCACTAGTGTGTCCTCACTTGTTTTGCCTTTCGTTGTCGGTGGAGGGTATTGCAGAGAGATGGGGGTGTTTGGCATCCAGGCACCAAAATCGTACTATAACAAATGGCAGCAGGGGGATGTGTCAAAAGGTCAATTAAATACTGAAATGTGCATCATTTAAAACATGTATTTTTGAAGTAAAATGGAATACAGTATTCAGCCGTACAGAATATTCCCACATGTTAAAGAGATTCACCTGTCCAGAGTTTACTGCCGCATGTTGGAAGGAGCCAGTGAATATCACCATGGTGACAAATTTGACCAGGTCAACTACTTTTGTAAATTGCCTTGGAATTCCTGGAAATTGGAGAGTATAAAGAAATCTCTGAAATTGTCTTTAGACAACTCCAAATGTATTCTTTGGTTAAAGTTGGTTTTGTGAGTGAGCTGGTGCTAAATCCAAACCTCACCTGAGGCTTCATTGGAAAGGAATCCATGTTCAAAAATGTCCCCAATCCAGTTCTGGAGCTCAGAGTCTTTTTTGACGTCAGAATCACTCTTGTAGTAGTACTTGACAACTCCATCCACAAACCTGTAACAAACACGGAAAATAATCTGCTGTTGGTTATATGGATATATTTTGGAAGAGGGCGGAAAATCCAAAGCGTTCTCTCATACTTGAGAGTGATGTCCCAAAGACGAAGCGCATCATCCCTGTAGTAGTAATTTGGAATTTTCCCCATTCCTCGCTCAGCAATGCTGTCAGGTACACACAGGGAGCTGTAGGTCACTGACTTTAGTGACCTTTGCAGGATGGGCATCATGGCATCTCCACCAGAGGCTGAAAACTTAAGAAATAAATTTAAGAACTTGTATGGAAAAAAAGGAAAATAAACATTTCCATACCTGAGTGAAAACTCCAGTTGGAGAAATGAGTAGAAGTCGAGCCAGGTGGTTGATCTGTAAGTTGTAGCGTGTGTGGGGAACGAGGAGCTTAAAGACACAGGAATTGAATTGTTGACGCAAGAAAAATTCACAATGTTTCCGTGAACTGAGACATCTTTGAGGTTTATTGTTACCTTGTACAGTGGATGCACCATTGGGAAGTTGCGCAGCAGAGACACTGCAAAGACCTCAGCCAGCAGGTGAGTGCGCAGCAGGTGAACATTAAGCTGATGTTCAGAGAAATCTGCGCTTCTCACAAAAGTCTTTGCCGTCAACCAGTCATATTTAGAATCGTTAGGATAAAAGATGGGATTGTCAGCTCCTGGTTCCTGGTTCAGCTGTAACAAAAGAATTTTCCAATCAGTGACAGAGAATTCATACTCACCGTAGCAGCACTTTTGCCATAGTTCTGCCTCCTATTAGGTGGTGTAGGGATGCACGATGCTTGTATTCGGACCAACAGTCGACTTGTAGGCATAGGCGAATGAAAATATTTGCGATCACTCGTATTGGTTTGTCAAGTATGGTGTTGGGAGAACACTGTGTGGTGGTTAAGTGTATAAAAGTTCTCCTTACAAATATTACCAGGCAAGCGTCAATTGTACCTGAATAGCGACTGGCATCAACTTGTCATTCGGTGTTTTATAGAGCAGGACGAGGGGCGCGGTCAAGTACTGCTGTTTCCCATTGATGATGTTTGCTTTCACATCTTTCAGATTCTTGTAGTCACACAGGTATATGTTGCCCTTCTGTTTTATATTTGATTGAGAAAAACATGTGAAGTGATGTTGTACACAGTAACGGTGAACATTTCAAATAAATGGAAATTACCTTCATTTCTTTGCGTAAGGAGTTCTTGCTTTGGGGTAGGACTACATTGTCAGGGACAGGAAAGTTATCTGGCAGCACTGTGCACTTTCTGATCAGAATGGGGTTAACACCATTCAGAAACTGGTATGCAAAAAACTCATCCTCCTCCCAGTGTTTTTGTACATATTCTGGAAGATAAGCAGAGATGATCATCATACACTTTCAGGATACGAGGTACTGTTGGCACGGGGTGGCAGTGGATCATACCTTGAATAGTTGAATAGTTTTTTTCACCAAGTACTTTTTTACTCTTACTCAAGTAATTATTTGGATGACTACTTTTTAACTTCTACTTAAATAATATTATTCTGAAGTAACAGTACTTTTACTTGAGTACAACTTTTGGCTCCTCTACCCACCTCTAAAGACCAGCAGATCATTGGGGAAACTGGTGAATGATTTGCAAATAAACAACTATAATGAAAATATACAAATTTCATATCCTCTCTGTTGGAATGGTTTGGCCTAACTGTTGATATTATATACCATCACGTACAGAGAGTGATCATTTTATGATGATAAAAGTACCAGATACTGCAGTTTTGTTTTTGGTGATCGACTCCTTAATAGATTTAAAGTCAGTCCATGGCTCCTTAGAAATACTCAACAATGTGAGGCCCAGTGATGACAATCTGTTAGAAAAAAAAGAAAAGTATTCTTACTTTGTTTTTAAAAAACTGAAGAATGATTTTTTTTTAAATGGAAAATAAGTTTAGCTGTAAAAACAAGGAGAAGATACCCAAAGGCAGACGTAAGAAAAAACTCGCTTTTCTTGGTGAAAGAGAACTGAACCTCAGGTGGCAGTGAGAGCGCGTTTTCTGTTTTAATGCAGTGGGGTATTCCAGCTGCATACTCACTCCAACTGGAAAGAGGAATTAGAAAACATATGAAATAATTGTAGATAATTATCGCCACAACTTTTACATATTTAACATTCATTGAAAGATTAGCTGTAAAGAATATTGGTTTATCGATTCCAATTTATCAAGAGTATAACTCATTAATCATGGAAGATTTTGCCTTGGGACCAAAAGAGCTAGAATAATGACAAGCTGAGATTTCTCACCAATATTCCTCCGCCCTGAACTTGAGCTCCTTTTCTCGATCATACCTGCCAAGGTGATGGTTGTCGTCAGAGACTTTCAGAGCTTCAGAGGACAAACAAGAATGACAGACATTTAAAATCAGTCTTCCCTTACTGTTGAAGTCATGATTTGCCGTAAACTACATCCTGTAGGAATTGTGTTCCTTCTGTTTTTTTCCACACACCTTCAGCCGCTCTGAAGCGGTGCACCTCCTTGTCATTTATCCATCGGTAGATGGGAAAGGAGTAGGTGTCGCCTTCAGGGGATACTACCTCCACTTTAGCAGGGAGCCAAGCGTTACTTGGAGTCAATGGTAGAGGTTTTTTGTCCAGCTCAATCAGAATAAGTTTTCCAAGAGACGAGCATGAGACATTAAAAGTGACAACCTAGATTATTGATGGAAATAAAATAATGAGTTTCACTTTTACATTTCCACATATATGTAGGTGCTATGGGTCAAGTGCTGTTTAGGAACACTTGGTGTTAATAACCAGTCTCAAATAACACAAATCAGCTTCAATTTAAACTTATTTGTGTTGTGTTATCCTAATAATATAGTAATAATGTATTACTTAGTGTATTACAAATATACTGCATTTGAAAACAATTAAATACCTGAAGGTTTTTGGAGTTCTTGGCAAATTGAGTGGCTTCAGTGAACAAATAGCAACACAGACAAACACAGTTTACAAAAAATAATTAAATTTACCTGACCCCCCAATTTAAAGGTTGTGGAGGTCACTGTTTGTGATGTATGTGGGTTTCCTAAATTGACTGTGGTTGTACCTACATATACGTAGTTCCACACAAAACAAAAAGTGAATTTCAAAATTATAAGTGATATGGAACTTACACTTCCTTGCAGAAAGGGTAAAGGCTGCAGCAGGTTCTTCAGCATGGTATGGGAACTTTCTCCATTCTCGCCCACCAGTTTAATAAAGACTTGGTTAAAAGATGCAGGAAGTGCACGTTCAGAAGTGAACACCTTTACCTGGTATTTTGACATTTTCACGCTGAAAATGATAAAGGAAAAAAAAAAAAACAGTAAAAGCAACCGTTGTCAAAATCTCAGTGTAATACAAAAATAAAAAGGGCAAATACATTTATCACCTGTTAACAATATCACACAAACACAATGAGAAGGAATCTCTTACCCAAGGAAATCAAAGTTTCTGCCAAGACTTTCCCAAACAGTACTTATATTCTCGTAGTTTTGTAGGTGTGTCTTCTAAAGAGAAAAATACTGATGAAACTTTTTTTTATTATGGATTGTGTAACCAGGACCTGACAATAGCTTCATTTGTCTTTGGAATGATTCTAGAATAAATAGATAAACCAGATAAACCAGGTCTTGAGTAAACATTGAGCAACCTTCTAGCAAATACATTCCAAATGGCAGTTCTTTGGAATTTGGAACAAGGAACACATTCAAAATCTGTAACAACATTTCTGGAAATGATTTGTGTTGTGATTTTGGCTGGTTATGAGATATGAGAGAAAAACAAACAACTTTAAATCTCTCTCAAACAAACAAAAGAAGAAAAAAAAGTCAAGTTCCCTCTTGATTGTCTGCACCTGCCCTCCTGTGTCTCCAGCTCCCTTGATTACCTGCCTCTCCCCTGATGTGTGTCACCTGTGTGTGTGTGTATATAAAACCCACTTCTTCCCAGTCTTTTGGGCCAGTTTGTCTCTTAACACAAGTACAGCTCAATGTAGTTTATTCATTTTCTTGTGTTTCAGTTGGTTGACTGTTGGTTTTTTGTTTTTGTATTTGTTGTTGTTGGTGGACAGAAAAGTTTGTAGATTGAGTTTTTAAACTCTGGTGGTGTGTGTGTCCCTGAACATCACAGTGACATTTGACCTCAAAGTCAGGCATTTAATTAAAAAAGTGTAATATCATTGACTTTATTTATTATTTTTTCTTAAATGTGTAGGAACACTAAGTCACATGGCTGGTGCACCTGTAGCTGTGGTGTTGCGATCAGGGAACGTTGCCACTAATGTGTCCTCACTTGTTTTGCAACAAGGGACAATTCTAGATGGAAAATTTTAATTTATTTTAAAATTTGACATGATTTACTCAACATGATTGTTACAGAAACAACAGTATTATGTGCAATATTTTAACCATCATTATTCAAATACTAACTGGGCAATTTTATTTCCATGAGATGAACAATTCCTGATATGAAAATAAGTGTATTCAAATTTAGGGTTTTAACGATCTGCACCTGTAAACGTGTGCTTTCTTCAAAAACACATTCAACACAACCACTGGGGCAATTTTATTTCCATGAGATGAACATTTCCTGATATGAAAATAAGTGTATTTAAATTTAGGGTTTTAACGATCTGCACATGTAAACGCGTGCTTTCTTCAAAAACACATTCAATACAACCACTCAGAACAAAATGTTATTTTAATAGATTTTAATAGACACAGTTTAGTCAGAGATGAACACACATTAACTTAATTTGGTATAAAAAAAATGGGAGTCAGATCTGAGGGGATGGAACAGTAAGGAGCCCAGTGAGCTTCAGCTTGTTGATTCCTCCATCCAAGATACAAACTCGTGGGAAGTTGAGCTTGACCAGGTGAGCAGCGAACTACAAGAAAAAAAGGTGTAAAAAAATTGAAGCATTAACCTGGAGACTAATATTAGGTGAATCACTACTATTACTTTAGAGATTACTGTACGTCCATGACCGCTCCAGTGTTCATGACATTTCACCACCTGATTTAATATGACTAATGACATCTTGGAATTTTACAGAAAACAGTAAATCAGAGTCCAGACTGGAGAAATATTATATGTGACAAACGTTTCCTCTTCCTGACGGACGTTACTCTGACATGACTCAGACAAAACTCTTGGTTGTTTTGTCAGTAAAGTGTAAGCACACGTGGATGAACCATTGTCCACAGAGCTTCTAGAACCAGAGTTATTCCCTTGACCTTTGTTGTTTTTGATCCAGGTTCTCTGATTACATACAACCTGGAGCCATTGTATCAGAGTCATCTGACGATGGTCTGGCTGAACCGTTGAGTCACTAGATCATTGTCGGGGATTTTGCAGTAAGAGTCATCTGACGATGGTCTGGCTGAACTGTTGAGTCACAAGATGCCCAAAGTCTAAGTTAAAAAGTTGCCCAGTTGCTGTTATGTTTTTTTCAACTATTTTGTAGGGGTCAAATAGGGGTCAAATAGTGGTGTCTTCCTGTTGCTACTTAGTCTACCATAATTTCCGGACTATTGAGCGCACCTGAATATAAGCCAACTCACGCTTCATGACAGGGCTCAAACGTAGCCATTCACAGACAGACATACGCTACTAGTATAACACACAGTAGCCTATTGTAAAAGTCATTAATAGTCTGTAAATTACAGTAATTGTACTCACCGTGGTAGCACTCTTCATGACGTTGCTCATGACCACGATGACGCGCCCCCTGTAGTTCTGCAGGACCCCAGTTGTAGGACACTGCACCAGTTCACCCTCAGGACTGAAGGCTGTACTGGAGGGAATGTTGATGCTTCCGGAAATGTGGCCTCTGTTGAAGCTGGACACAGATTAAGGAGCAGGGTCTGAAAAGCCTTAAGTGTCTGTCTGTCAACATGGTCCTCGTCCTTTTGCATCATACTCAAAACACAGATTTTAGTTTTCATTTCCGTGGTTACATCAACCCTTCTCTACTCACTTAATCAGCCAGGAAAGTTGTCGTTGAACAGATTTTCTTCTTTTTATTACAACAAACCAGCTGCTGAAAGAAAACAGCTTATTTGTGAGCCAGATAAAGCAGTGCACGCCTTGAGAACCTGGTCCTGCAACCAAACATCTAAAACTAGATGTCCTAATTAGACCCACGAGGGACTAGGTTTAATCCACCTTTTGTGGCCACAGACACCCACAACAATGCTTTGGTCAAGATCACAGTAAGCAGTGAGGGTTGCCAAATCCCCCTTTGTGTGGGTGAGTTGGCCTGAAGCGCTCATATCTATGTGAAGGCTTTAGGCTAGCGAATTGGCTGAAAGGGCTACCATTTCAAATGCCTGGTTCTGTTCACTAATCCCCATTGATTAATGACTGTTTAACCTCATTCCACCAAGGAGAGGGAAGTCATCAGTCAGTCCCACGACAACAGTCACACTTATTCCTTAAAACACTGAATTATTCAATTCTGAGTGCTGAGTCAGCATATATAAAAGACCTACTCATGTTTCCTGTAATAACCATGACGCCATTTTACTCGAAGGATACTCTTCGGCACCGCGTATGTCCACTGCGATGATTTTGAATTTCCCAACTTTGCTGCGCTTGTTGAGGCCGACCAGAGACAGCCCACAGTGGTCAATCAGGTCCTCAGCCGAGATCCTGGGGGACACTTCCGCCTTCAGGTCCGACAGCGGCAACGGTTCTCGACACTTGCGGGATAGTCGGGGAGAACATGGGCAAAATGATCAAATAAATATTTACCACTGTTTAAATATGGGACTTATTTTTAGATTTCTGAACATAGCATTTATCTTTCTTTTTTTTTACATTTTATGTCACTGTAGACAGCAGTGTTTCTGTAAGTCTTTCATTGATTCTGGTACTGGATCTCTAGCAGCAAAAGCACAATCTTAATTGTAGCTGTAATTAATATTTAGGCTTCTCAGACAGATCACGCTGCTGTGGAGCTACCAGCGGGTAAACTCTGAGATGTTCAGGACAGATTCAAATACCCTGGGACATTCATGACAACTCCTGCTGGGAGCTGATGGAGCCGTGAGCTGTAATGGTGACTTAAATGTCACCATGAGCAGCTTTTACCCTTCCATCAGTTTAGTTAGTTGGTTTAATGTCACTTTTTACACTCCACTGGCTCGACATGAAAACCACCAACTGATAACAGAACACTGTGACTGAACATCACAAGATAATGTTTTTATTAATATAATAAAAACAGTCATCGAGGCCTTGAGTCTTGATACCACACGGTGAGATTTCTATACCTCCAGCAATGCCAAGTATATCAAATAGATTTCTTTTTTTTTTTTAAGTTGTAGCAGTGACACAGAGCTCCACTTTGCTGCTCTCACCAAAAGGTAGACACAAAAAATTGGATTAAATTATTATTTGTTAAATGTGAATCATGTTTTATAGCCGATGATGCTGTGAATTATTACTTTTACAGATCAGTATGCAGTCTCTCTTAGTCATGCTGTAGATTCTTCAGAGGTATCGCACTGTACTATTTATATTTAATTTTCAACCAACATGAAATAAACCACAACTCCAGAGGAATTTTGACAATAAAGTTCAGCAGTGTAGAAAACTCCTTAAAACCAGATTTAAATATTTTCAACCAACATGAAATAAAACCACAACTCCAGAGGCGTTTTGACAATAGAATCCAGCAGTGTAGAAAACTCTTAAACTTAAAACCAGATTTAAAGAAAAGTCAGTTACAGCCTCAACATTTGTTAACCGGGTCTGCCAATAACTATCCAGGGGTTCTAATCAGTGATCAGGAGAGCTTTGCTAATGGCTTTCAGCCTAATCGTCGGGTAAAAAATCCATTATTAAAGCTAATGATAATGGACATTGTGATAATGCTATCACAACAAGGATTCAATGAAAGTAGTTCATGATGTTCTCAGATTTTACAAGGTGAATACAAAAGTAACCAATAGTAACAGTAACTATCTGCCCTGCAAAAAAGGGATTTAATTAAAATATAAGACTATTTTAAAAAGCTGATATTTCACAAATTCTAAAAACTACAGATAAATACAGTAGATTTCAAGCTATTGGGAGTAAAACTGCACTGGTGATACTCACCAGGTCGGCCCTGGACAGGTTTTGATAGTCAGTTGAGCTGTATGTCATTGTTTTGCTGCTCACGTAGCCGTTGTCGCCTGCGCCCTTTGGTGGTTGAGCGTGCTGTCGGTACGTAGCACTTTTCGGGGTACAGTGAAAGAGTTCGATGGATTTGCGAACGCATGCCTGGATGTTAATTTCTGTACAACATGACAGACAGCAGAAAAACACAGATGGAGTATTTACAAACAGGTGCAAGTGCATTTTAGTGCTTCCTTTATTCATTATAAATATTCTAAAATCATTTTTAAAATGTTATTTGTACAAGAAATCAATCTTATGTCGACACAGTATTTACAAGCTTTGTACAAGAAATCAATCTTATGTCGATACAGTATTTACAAGCTGCTTCCTCATTTTATATATAATAAAGAATATAATGGAATTACACAAGGTTTAGCTGCCGTCTTATCTTGGCTTTTTAATGTAATTTATATTTTAAGTCAAAGGGAACTGTTGTAGGGTCTTGTCCCAAAAAATGGGAATGCAACACAATAACATTTCCAGATCAGTAGTGTCACTCCACTTGGATTTTCCTTCATTGTACATTGTGAATTCAAGGATGAGGGAGATTACAGGCCAGTGGATTAGTTGAGGATTTGGGTAAATTAGGAATTCTAACTTCTTACTCTCTAACACTGACAGCACATTTTTTGTAAATGCCCCTTTCTTGGCTAATTACCACCTGTTGGCCTGACCTTTAACTTGGTCTGACTTAAATGTAGATGCATCTATTCTCCCTTTAGTCACAGTGGCCTCAAGGTCACATCTGATGGGCTCGGACCTCACAGATTCAGACCTCACAGACTCACCGTTCATTCCAGCGAAATGCACGCTGGTGGCTTGGAGAGGCTCATTGGCATTTCAGGAAAATACACTTTTACTCTCTGGGGTGAAGAATTCTCTGTGCAATCACTCCTTCTGCTAAAAGAGGCAGCGACGACAGGGAGGAGATTGATAGTGGACCCAACAAGCCCTGGGCTCAGCTGGGCACTGCCTCGCAGCCAATTTTGTTAGGGAGTCATTTTTCTTTTTACTCAAAGAAAATTACATTTAAGTGTATAGATGTTGACCGCAGGCCATCACTTGTTTCCCACAAAATAGTTGAAAAGAACATAACAGCAACTCGGCAACTTTTTGGACTTAGACTTTGGGCATTTTGTGTGTCCACAGGTAACATTACATAGAACGGACCCACTCATTACTTTATCTTTTAAACCCAGAGCAGGCTTTTTATGATAAGAGTAAAAGGGCAGTTTCCAAAATTCTGGCATATGACCAAGGTAATAAATAGTGTATAACTGCATAGGACAGAATTTGGGTGGAGTTTTGTTCAAAATGACATTGTGTTAAAAGAAAAAAGCCATATCTGTGGATGTTGGTGTGTGTGTGTGTGTATGTTGGAGG